GAGAGAGAGAGAGAGAGAGAGAGAGAGAGAGAGAGAGAGAGAGAGAGAGAGAGAGAGAGAGAGAGAGAGAGCAAGGGAGGGAGAGGGAGAGAGGATAGAGGTTGGCAAGTGCAGACGGCCGTTGACGGTAAGAGCAGCACGCCGGAGGAGAGGAGAAGAGGGAGACGAGCGTGCCAGAGGAGACGGAGATGGCGGACGAATGTGAGTTGATATTTTTTTCCTTTTTTATTTTTTATTTATTTTTTCATTGTTTTCTTTTTTTTTCTTTTTTTTTGGGCTGGGAGAGGCGATGGAAGGAAGAACGACGTCGGGAAGGGAAGGAAGGGGGGAGAGGATTCTTAATTTTTCCTTTTTTTTTTTTTTTTTTTTTTTTTGGCAGCGCACGCAGCTGCACCACGTGGCACACAAGCAACTGCCGGAGCATTTTGTTGGGATAGGGGAAGGGGAAGTCGGGATCGAAAAGTTGTGGGGATGAGGGTGACGAGGTCGGGATAGAGGAGGGGAGAAGCCGGGATGGAAGTCGGGATGGGCAAAGAGGGTAACGAAGTCGGGATGGGGAGGGACGCGTCTGGAGGTCGGGATAGGGAGGGGGGGAAATCGGGATGGGGAGAGAGGGTCGGAGGGTCAGAGGGTCGGGATGGGGAGGGGGAAGTCGGGATGCGGGATGAGCGCAACCCGAAGCCCGACGACGTTGGGAAGTCGCGATCGACAAGTTGGCGGGATGGAGGCGACGAGGTCGGGATAGAGGAGGGGAGAAGCCGGGATGGAAGTCGGGATGGCCAAAGGGGGCAACAAAGTTGGGATGTCCGGAGGTCGGGATAGGGAGGGGAGGAAGTCGGGATGGGGAGAGAGGGTCGGAGGGTCGGGAGGGGGAGGGGGAAGTCGGGATGTGGGGGGGAGTCTGGATTCGGGTCGGAAGACGGACGACACTGGGATAGGGGAAGGGGAAGTCGAAGTCGGGATGGAAAGAGAGGAGGAAGTCGGGATGGGGAGCGGGGTTGGAGAGTCGGGATGGGGAGGGGTAAGTCGGGATGAGGGATAAGCGCAACCCGAAGACCGATGACATTGGGATAGGGGAAGGGGAAGTCGGGATCGAGAAGTTGTCGGGATGGGGGCGACAAGGGCAAAGGGGGCAACGAAGTCGGGATGGGGAGGGACAGGTCCGGAGGTCGGGATAGCGAGGGGAGGAGGTTGGGATGGGGAGAGAGGATTGGAGGGTCGGGATGGGGAGCGGGAAGTCGGGATGCGGGATGGGTGCGACGAGGTCGGGGAGGGGGGAAGTCCGGATTGATTGATTGATTGGTTGGTACGAGGGGGGTTTGTGGGTAAGGGGGAGGGGAAGAAGTCGGAATGGGGAGAGAGGGTCGGAGGGTCGGGATGGGGAGGGGGAAGTCGGAATGCAGGATGAGGGGGAGGAGGTCGGGGAGGGGGGAAGTCTAGATTGGTTGATTGATTGATTGGTAAGAGGGAGGGGTTTGTGGGTAAAGGGGGAAGCGTTGAAGGCTTGATTAGTTTTTTTTTTTTTTTTTCCCCGGATCAATGGGAAGTTGTCGGAGGGGGGAGAGAGAGAGAGGGAAGT